AGAAATCCCACTGAGATACTGTAGTTATTACTAACATTTTTGGAGAAGAGTACAACTCAATGTGCATAGCTACTTTTACAAGGAGCATATTTAACTTTTCGATCAATTCCAAAGCTGCCTTGCTGCTCTGGAAAAGTAAATATGCTATCTCCCCTTTCATGAAATTGGCAGTATATGTCAATCCTCCCCAGAACCCACAGGCAAGAAAGAAAGCCGTATTTAATCATTGGGAAAAACATATCATATTCAAAGAGTGTGTATAGGTCAGAGATGAGAGAGCATTCTATGAAAAATAGAGTTGATAAGACATAATAATGCTCCAAACACAATGGAGTTGCTAGTTTGTTGAATTCCAGATGTAGGTTCACATTGCTAAAGGGGCAGACTTGAAGCTATCAAAAGATAGTCAAAAAATATTCATCGTCAACAAAATTCAATCACTATTAATTATGTGACCAAATAATTTATTTAATTACTGAAATTGGGTGTGTTGTTATAGTCTAAGGACATATTTTCTTCAACAACAGTTTAATAAAGAATACCACTAGTATGGAGTAATGCATCCAATATCTATCAACCTGATCATCAACAGTTTAATAAAATATATGTAAACAGATATACGGAAAAAGAGAAATTAAGCCACATAAACAATACAACTGACTAAAACGAACTCCCCAGACCCCCCAAAGAAGAATATGTCAAGATTCAATTATCAAATTCAAGAAAGCAAGAAAATGCATTTGGGGAAAGGTAAATTAAACGGAATAAACAATATATCAACTAATTAATATGCAAGAATCACAAAGAAAATGCATAAACACGAAAAAAGAAAAAGGAAAAAGGAAGATTCCCATACTAGTTATTATCAAGAATATGGAAGAAAGTAGACAAATTTAAAATTAACATTATGTTGTGACAAAAGATTCTTGTTATATTATCGGAAAAAGGAGGAATTATCAAGTAACTACAACCAGAGGAACAAGAAAATTTACTTACTTGGAGAAATAGCAAAGAAGAAGACGAATGCTTATTGTAATGGTGGTATATATGGAGTATAATAAGTATATAGATAGAGAGGAGGAGACGCGGGTTGCATAACTTTTACGCAGATTTAAATTAAGTCGCCACTTACGGTTTAAGCTACTCATATATAGCTAGACTTGGCTTAAGAAAAATAGTCCAAAATAATATTGAAAAAAAAATATAAATGAAGACAATCATGACAAAATACTACAGACAATTAGGGGTGGGCGTTTGGTTTAATCAAATTTCTGTTCGATTCTTCGGTATTCGATGTTAGAAAAGTGTGCACCATATTTCATACCAAACTAGATTGGTTCGATTCGGTCTAGTTCAGTGTTTTTAAATTGGTTTTTCGATGTGGATAAAAATAAAGAGGGAATATGATAAAGTGTTAAGAGTTTCATGTGTTTAATTTATAATTAAGAAGATGCTGCATAGATGATTCTTTAACTAGAAGAATTCAAATTTTGTTTTTGTTTCTAGCAAAGATGCCAAAGGATTTGTTAATTAGATGGATTATTTACCCTCCCATGTTGCTACAGAGATGACCAACTAAATATACAACGACAGAATCAGCAGACATATGCAGATAAATGGTAAATGGCACACAACAATTATCTTTACTCACAAAACAAGGTCTACAAAGATTTGTCCACACATTTAAAAAAAAAAAAACACACAACACCATCAAACGACACTATCTCTTAATTGGATACACGATTCAACACATTCAAAACATAGACTTTAGGTCTTTAGGATTTACACTTTACTGTTTTGTCATTTAAAAATTGAAATGAGCCAAGTAAATATTTTGAGTCAAAATATATAAATATTATTAATTAATATAATTTAAATATTTGTAAATTTATTTAATAAAACTTCGGTTCTTCGGTGCACCGTAGTTTCGAAACCCTTACCGCGAACTCCGAACCGAAATTTTGAAAATAAAGAACCGACACCGAAAAATCAAAATAGTTCGGTTCGGTTCGATTTTTTGATATTTATGCCGACTCCTACGAACAACCAGACAAAATCATCCTAAACGATCATTATAGCAAAATTTAATGTAATCAAACTTAAAAGACAAAAAAACTACAGAAGTAATACAAGTAAAAATAAAAGAGGAATAAATAATATTCAACGAACTAACCCCTCCTACCTCAATTTGTTTGTCGATTTTTTGAGCCTCCTAATCACTCAATAAGTATATCTTTTTTTAGCAAAATTATTCTTTACTTTTTAATATTTTTGTATTGAATTAAAGTTGAACCAAGCAAATAAAAAACGGAGTGAGTCGATTTTTTAAAAATTACTTTGTGTGGACTTCAAGATATACGAAAATTGGTGTATTATTCTTGGTCCTTGGAGAACAAGTTCAAGCTGACTCCAGAACCTTCCATACACCCTTTGTTATCCACATTTTACCAGAACTTTCCAGATTCTCTCCTCTATATATAAGAGCCTCCTCTCCCCCCTTTTTGTTTCCTCAATCAAAATTTCATCCAACTAACAAAAACCAGTATTAATTCATTGAATTGCATTCATTTTAATATTTTGATTGATCGAAGATGCCGATGCGACCAACAGGCGGATTGAAACAAGATTGGGATCCAATCGTGCTGCACAAGCCGAAGATGAAGGCACAAGACCTGAAGGATCCGAAAGTTGTGAATCAGGCATTGCGAGCTGGAGCACAAGTTCAAACGGTGAAGAAATTCGACGGTGGATTGAACAAGAAGGCGGCGACGGCGGCTGTTAATGTAAAGAAGCTAGATGAGGCGGCGGAACCAGCGGCACTTGAGAAAGTGACAGTGGATGTGAGGCAAGCGATACAGAAAGCGAGGATTGAGAAGAAGATGAGCCAAGCTGATCTAGCGAAGAAGATTAATGAAAGGACGCAAGTTGTTGCGGAGTATGAGAATGGTAAGGCAGTGCCTAATCAACTTGTGTTGGGGAAAATGGAGAAAGTGCTTGGTGTTAAACTTAGAGGTAAAATTCATAAGTCATGAAAAGTATAGTTTAATTTGTGTGGAAATGGAAAGGCTATAGTTGTTCCTTGTATAGATGTGAAGGATCTCAGTGTTTTCTAATTTGTTTTTAGAAAATTAATAGTGATATGATATTTTTAGATTGTGTTGTTGCTCCCAGATAACTACACAAGAAAATGTTGTCCTATAATGCAAATAATAAAATGATAAAAAATATGTGACTATTATTCCACAATCGTGATCTCATCTATATGAATAGCATACTCAATTAAGAAAGTTTGCTTCTTTCTTTTTTTTGGGTTCAACTTAGTTTGCGGTTTTGTTTGAATTTGTAGACGTCGTTAATGACGAAACTGAGAACAACGTATTTAACAAATTTTGATAATTAAGCTAATTTATAAATAAAATAAAAATACGAGAGGCTACTTAGCATAAATTACACTAATTTCAATTTATTTAAGTCTATTTCAGAAAAGCATATCTTGTTTAGCAGAACTCTTTATTGTGGTAAAAAAGAATATGTATGAGTCAAATTAAAATCGACAGAGACACGGAGTAGATTTTTCCAAAATAATTTGTGTTCACTCCAAATATACGAAAATTGGTCTATTATCACCCTCTGTTATCCACATTTTACCAGAACTTTCCATGTTCCCAATCCACTAATCCTTCCTCTCCCCTTTTTCCCTCTCAATCCAAAGTTCATCCAACTAACAAAAACCAATACTATTTATCAAACAATTTTAGTTAATTGATCGATCGAAGATGTCGAGTCGACCAATTAAAACAAGAGTGGGATCCAATCGTGCTGAACAAGCCATAGATGAAGGCACAAGGATCCGTAAGTTGTGAACCAGGCATGGTGAACGGTGAAGAAATTCGACACCGGTTTGAACAAGAAGACAGCTGTTAATGTGAGGAAGCTTAGATGAGGCGGAAGAAGCAGTGGCGGTCCGATGGAGGTAAGGCAAGCGGTACAGAAAGTGATGATTGAGAAGAAGATAATCGATCTAGCGAAGAAGATTAATGAACGGACGCGAGGGATATAAAGGTTATTGCCGTTGTTGTAATGCTTCTAATTAGTTAGTCGCCCTGTAATTTTTCCAAGTTATGGCTTTGTAAAAATATTAAATAGCGATTCATAATGTTATTTTATGATATGGTCGATCGATCTGTTTTGTGGCAAAATATTTCTATCTTGTACTAATTATGAGAGTTGTTTTATGTTATTAGCTAGAAATTGCTCTTTTACCATGGAACATATAGTTTCCTTGCTATCTAGAAAATTCATACTAAGTAGGCGTTTGGCCATGCGATACCATATCACGATATGGTATCGTGAGATGAAATCAGCGTTTGGACATGCGATTTTACTATTTTATGTGTAAGTTATTAGTATTTAGTTACATATTTCCTATCAACTTTGTTTAAAGAGATAATATTTATTTTATGACTTTGCATTGTCTTGGAAGCACTATTTTTATTACTCTTACAAACATTATTTTTATGAAGTGCATTCTATAATGCTTCCAATTTATTTTATGTTCAGTAAACTAATATTGATGTATTTTTTATTTGGTAGGATTGTGTTGGTGCGATTGATGGAACATATATAGAAGGGAAGGTTCCTAAAGGGTGCAACAAGCATATCGTAATCGCAAAGGAAGAACATCACAAAATGTTTTATGTGCTTGTGATTTTGATATGCGATTTACCTTTGTTGCTGCTGGTTGGGAAGGTACTGCACATGATAGTAAAGTACTTGAGAATGCACTTGTTGAACCAACGTCACAATTTTCATTTCCGCCACATGGTAACTTTAAATTACATCCTTAGAATAAATATTATTTATTTACACAAAGTTGTCTCATTTACGTCACATATGCTTTTAGTAATTTTTTATAAAATGTTTGTTGGTAGGTAAATATTATGTTGTTGATGCTGGTTTTCGAAACACAAAAGGATTTTTAGCTCCATACAAAGGACTACGCTATCATTTGCAAGATTACCGAGGAAGTGAAAGAGAGTTTCAAAATGCCAAAGAACTATTTAATTATAGGCATTCATCTCTGCGCAATGTGATTGAACGGATTTTTGGAGCTTGGAAAAATAGATTTAGAATACTGAAACAAGGCATAAACCATTATGATATTGATACACAAGTGAAAATTGTCATAACTTGTGCAGTGTTACATAATTATTTGCGAGAATACCAAAGTAGTGATGAAATATTTATGGTCTATGAACATGAAGATATAGTTGCGGAGGATATTGACCAACAAATGGCTCAAAGTAACAATGTTGGTTCGTCTTCTCGGTCACATGATCGAGAAATGCAAGTTCAACGTGAGGAAATTGTCCGTACTATGTGGGAGGATTATATTAAAGACTAGTACACTACAATTTATGTTCAATTTTTTTTATTAAATTAAAGTTAGATGAAACAATTACTTAAGTGGAGAACAAATAACTTTGTAATAATTTATTATGCGATTTTATAATTTTTGTTTATTTGATAAGATTGAATAAACAATTGGGGCTATTTTAATAGTTTTACAACTTATATGATTTTTATGTTTATGAGAAAATATACAACACAAAAGTTCCATATCGCATGTCCAAACAAACCTTCAATTTCATCTCATGATTCCATATCATAATACCATATCATGATTCCATATCATGATACCATATCGCATGGCCAAACGGGCCCTAAGAGTCGGTTAACTAATTACTCCTTATTTTGTGTTTATTTGAACTCAGATTTATTAATACTACGCCATTTGTCGTCCTTTGCTTGGCTCATATGTAGCAAGGATGAATTCACAGGCCTCGACTATTTGGCCACAAAATATATAGTAAGTATAGGTTATATATACTTTATACTAATTATATGTATAATTTATACATACATACATATATACAGCATATAGAACAAATACACTATACATTGATAGTGTATATGTTATGTATATCTCTAGTATGTTGGTAAACTAGTTGGCCGAACCAGATATATTTGTAACTTTCATTCATCTATATAATTCACAGCAGATGTAACTTCATTTGTATTTATAGAAAAATGTACTGATTCTTGAACAACAGTTATTTTCTTTGCCAATGTCCGTTAGTACTGTAACTGGAAATGGAATTAGGTTGATCACTCTGATTAATTTATGAATGAATAATCTAGATTAAGACAGTAAGTAAAAGGCATAAGACATAAATTCATAAACGTAAACTTAACTTCAGTTGACATTTATGCCCTCTAACTTTAGACGTGTACCACCAATAGACATTTAAACTTGTAAAAAGTTGAACAAATAGTAACGTCACAAGAAAAAAATTTCTATTCCTTTTCATCGCAGTACAATTAGTTCTTAGCTTGTCATATAATCATCAACACAAAACTTCAGTTAGTTGTTGTAATGTTGCACATTGCGTAACTCATAAAGGGAAAAAAATGGTATTTCATGTTTCATCACTTTTTGATGATACATTATAGTCCTTCATCTTCTAGTGATAAATGTATATACCTCCTAATATTTCAGAACCAACTTGTGAATCCCTCTTATTCTCTTCTTGTTCTTCTTCTTCTTCTTTTCCCTCCCTTTTGCTGCTACCACCATGGCTACTGCCTTTACGCGATGAAGATTTTATGTCAATCTCTTCTTCATCCGGAACCAACTGGCTCACTTTCTTGATTTCTTTATCTTTCCCCCACAAGACAACGTATAGTCCACACACTATCACGACTGATCCAAGGATGCTGCAGTGAACAACATTAGTTAGAATAGGCATTACATTTTCACTTTTTTGTTTTTTGGCTGACTGAAAATTAAGGGAAAAATGACATACGTTCCGAGGACCAACTTTTCTCCCAAGAACAAGTATCCAGTAATTGCCACCATCACAAGCATCAAAGGGTTAAAAATGGATGCATATACCGGGCCTTTCATCCGGACAACCCATGCAAGGATGGTAAACAGTACTCCAGAACAAAAAATCCCCTGAAACACAAGTATGAGATGATCATCCTTTACACTTCAATTAAGAAATGATTTATTATTTCCCATACATACCGTATATGCTGCAGCAACAAGTCTAATGTTCCACCCCAATTTCCATTGATTCCAATCTCTTTCCACAACTACTGCAACAACAAAACATTGAACTGCTGCCATTACATTCAGTAGAGCGGTGAATGAGTAAGGACATGGATATTGTTTAGCCGCTTTAGCCTGTACATACAGAAACACATAGATTGGTAAAAATAACAGGTATACCTTCACTTTTGCTGAATTACAACATCCCTCCTATTCCTATACTGTTGCACCAGCACACAACTTATCGCTAATGCTAAGTATCAACATCCGTTACTTTGAAATGTTACAAAATGCTTTTTAAAACTACATATTACACACGAAATGAGATAAAAAGACATTTCCAAAGCATCACTAACTCACCTGAACAATCAACAATAGTGCATAGCAAGTACAACCAACTATGGCAAGAAAAGCACCTATTAAAGGTTTACTTTCCCCCTTATGTTTTGGGGAACTCAACAAGTTTATGTTTGTGCTCCCCATATGTATCTCTGGCCCTTTGTAGAGTGATAGGAGCATCGCTCCGCTGATGGAAATGATCGTCCCAAATACCTTTGCTTTACCTGCTGCTGAATGCCAACCCAGCCTCTCTAACCTGATCAATGCACAATAATACTACCTCATTTGTTTGAAATTTAATGAAACTAATAAACTCAACAACGATCCTCGCAAAAAGTACCTCAATATGATGGCAACGATAAAGGTCATGGCAGGGATAAGATTGAACATGGCTGAGACAAAAGTTGCTGATGTGTAGACCAAGCTTTGCAGGTACATGTTTTGGCCTATTGATCCCCTGCAACAAAAAGAACCCTTTCACTATAATTGCCTACAAAAATCTTTCACTCCATCCGTTTCAATTTATTTCTTTCACTTTCGTTTTTAGCCATTTTCAAATAGGATTTCTGTTTCTTTTTAGGCAACTCTTTAATTTCAACTTTCCACATGTGCCTAACACCACAGCCACAAGATTAAAGAGCATTCGATACATTGTACGTCTTAAACTCCGTGAAACAAATTGAAACACATGGAATACATTATATAAAAATGATCAAGAAACCTTATGACTAAACACTGTTTCATTCTTGAACTGAACTAAACAAGTAGGTGCTTCAACTTAAAGAGTTAGAAACCAATACACAACAACATACCCATGTGGTCTAGGCACTAGAAGAAAAGTGTGAATTACATGGAGATTTTCCTGGGGATTAGTATGAAAATCCGTAGTAAACTTATTTTCCTACAAATTTTCATACTAATCCCTAGGAAAATCCCCATGTAATTCACACTTTTCTTGTAGTGAGGGAGGGTAGATTGTATGCAAACCTAGCTAACCACCACCTCGAGAGGCGGTTTCCGATAGACCCTTGGCTAATAGAAGAGTTAAAAGAAAGAAGAAAAAAGATAGAACGGCTTACCCAAGTAGACCACACAGAAATCCTTGGAATAAAACCATCTTTGTTAGCTTGGCTCTTTTTCCCCTGAAACAACAAAAATTAGAATGAAACTTTCCCTTATTTCAAGAAAACAAGCATAACATAGAAAAATCCATGTCCCCACACAATAAATACAAGTTGTTGAATTAAAGATTGAACCTTTCAATGAAGAATGCTAAAGGGATCATGAAAACAGAGGCGAACAGAGAGCGATAAAAGATCAAAACACTAAAATTCATGCCATCGCTTGTTGCAAGTTTGAACACAATATTCATTCCTGCAAGTATCATTTGCCCCATAATCATAAGCAAAAGTGGCCTCATTCCATGCAACACATTGCATAAATTTTCCATTAATCTTCTCTGCTGTGTTCTCTCTTTCAACAACCCAAAAATTACCCAAAAAAAAAAGGGTTTCTTGAAGAGGAACACACAAAATCAACAATGCAAGAACGTAAAAAAGGAGGGTTTAATTTTATAACCCTCTTCTTCTTTTTACCTTCTTGTTTTGCATGCAGATAGATTAAGCTACAAGATGAAAAATCAAAAGATTTAGCAAAAAAATGTTTAGAATAGACTTTTGGCTTTTGGGGGATTGGTGAAAAATTGTTAGAGAAAATCACGAGAAAGAGAGAAAAAAAAGAGTACACATGTATGGATAAAAAGTTATATTTTCACAACTGTATATATTTATAGTGTTACTTTTTCTTTTTTTGTTACATAAATGAAATCATGCATGACGTAAATGAGAGAGGTGAAAGCGGGAGAGACTAGGTTAGTAAAAAAGTTTTATTCCTTAAATTTATTCATTATGAAATGACTTACCATAATATTATTATCACGGAACTAATATTATTTGTCATTTCTTAATTATGATTGGGTGGAAATATGAGGATGAGGAGGGTTGTGTCTATTGTAGCGAGAACTAATTTTGATTCATGTCGGGGTGTTATATATATATATATATATCCCGCAAGGAGATTGATGGAGCGGTATAACGAAAGAGGAAGAGAAACTTGCATATGTGTTCATTGACTTAGAAAAAGCTTACTGTAAATTAAGTCTGTGAGGATTATATGAAGAATATGTTTGGAGGTTAAAGGTGTACCTGTAGTTTATATTAGGGCAATGAAGGACATATACAATATGTTTGGAGGCTAAAAGTGTAAATGTAGCTTACATTAGGGCGATTAAGGACATATACAATAATTTAGGTACATGTGATGAAGAGCAAATGTGTGTATTTTAAGGGGACGCAATGACTTAAGTATATATAGACTAAAAATTCTATCAAAAATAACTTCTCTACCTTCTCGATGTTAATTGCTTCCAAGTCTATTTTCAATTTTGTTATACTACAATAGTAACTATAATGCCTAATGACCAAATTGTCGATCCATTTAATGATTTACGCATACTATTATACTACTACATGTTATAGCAAAGCACAGTTTATACAACATTAATATAATTCTCTTTTGTTACGTATAATATTATACTACTACATGTTATTGCAAAGCACAGTGTATATAACATTATAATATAATTCTCTTTTGTTATTCTACCAAAAGAAAAACTCTTTTGTTACATAATAATACATGCATTTTTCAACTTTCCGTTAACAAAGAGTTAAAAGGCAGTCAAAAACTCTCGTACGAGCTCCCGGCGGTTCATTCATCCAGGTCCAAACACGGAAACGAGAGCAAATTCTTTTTGTTATTGAAATTAATAAAATTCCATAAATTGCATATTTACTTTCCTTAACCAACTCTCATAGGAGCTCCCGGTGGTTCATTCATCCAGGTCCAAACACGGAAACGAGAGCAAATTCTTTTTGTGATTGAAATTAATAAAATTCCATGAATTGCATATTTACTTTCCTTAAAACTTTCTTTGACTGAGATAGAAAATCGAAATTACCTCTAATATACATTTCATTTTCCCCATATATGTGTGTAATATTCATATTTGAAGCAAAAAATATTCATCAAATATATTTTCCACCTTCCTTTCTCCAACGAATCAGCATTATATTTAAGTTTGTGAGGGGGGACATTAAGAGTTCCTTTCAACACTTAATTAAAATTTCTCCCTAAAGAAAGAAAATGGGAGCTTGTGCTAGTGTACCAAAGGACATCAAGGCTGACGCCGCGGCAGCACCTCTACCGGAGCAACCAAAGGAGGAGGAGACCACCACCACCACGGAGGTGACAGCAGTTGACAAGCAGATTGACGGAGAAATGAAAGTGGAAGATGAGAAACTGGCTGGAGATAGTGGATCATTACTCACTGAGGTATAAATATATATACTTTTTTTATGATATGAACTTAGCACTACAATAATCAAATTTCAAATTATAACTAGTTTCAACATGCAATAAACAATAATGAGTATATAACATAAGATTATTACAGAATGTAGCAATACAGGTACCTATGGGTTCGAACAAACCCAGTAACTTTAATCCAAACCCTGTAATTGTGTTGATAAATTCACTAACTATATATGTACAAAAATTAAACTCGAGATCCAGTTACTGCTATCATGGAATTTCGAACCCATAAGGTCAAATTCTGACTCCATCTCTCTGTAGCAATACTACTATTTTCAGTTTGAAGTTAGTAATATTGAATATACTTTGAAAATAAACTTCACAGAGTGAAACAGCAAATGAATCATTAGTTAAAGATGAGAAGAGCTCGGAAACCACAGACGAAAAACCAGAAGAAGCAAAGGTATCAGATGAAACTGATGCTAAACAACCAGCTGCTGCTGAAGAGAAATCAGTATAGACTCTTAATTTCAAGCAGAGCTTCAATGATATATGATGCCTATGTTTTTTTGGTTGGTTACTTGAGGTTCTCAAGGAAAAATTGCAGCAAAAACATATAAGGAGACTTGCATGGATTTTCAGGTGGATATTTTTTTTGGAGTATCTTATACTTTGGTGTTTCATATAATTGTTGGAGTTCTCTTAATCTTTTATACTCTTTTCATATTGTTTGTTCATTATTCACACACTCTGCATTTCAGTCTTCAACTTCAACTACACAGCCAAGAATTTGCTTGGAAACAACTTTTTCTTGTCAAACATGTTTTGTTCTACAATTTTTGAAGGAAGCCACATCAAAAGTTGGTTACAGGGTCTCAAAGGTTAGAAGGCATGAAAAAGGGCAGCCCAGTACACTAAGCTCGCCAGACCACAAGGGTCTATTGTACGCAGGCTTACCTTGCATTTCTGCAAGAGGCAGTTTCCACAGGACGAATCTATGTCATCCTGTAAAATATCTCACAACGATTGAGCATTTGCCCCCACTACTTAACAAAGTAACCATACAAAATAAGTGTAGCTATAGGGCCTTCTCAATTTCTAGACAGCAAAAGGAAAGAATGATTTAACATTGACAAGTTCAGAGAGAAGTTCTGCCAGCTCTAGCTACAATACCACCAGTAATTTTCTGAAATGTAATACAAAGTTCCAGTCAAGCATCACAAGCAGCATTTAGTAAGATTGAAAAAAACTACAATCACTACTTTAGATGCCAGCATCATTGGCATTTTTTTTCTTCTTAGTAATATTCTATCATCAGTTCAATTAAGATTAAGTTAGATGCAGCATAAGTGCTTCCTGACAAAGGCTGTGATAATTCAACCGGCAAAATGGAAGATAGAAGCAGGTAACAAAATGGAAGTTTCAAACACATCATAAATAAAGTAGCCCGAATTAGTGCCAATAGAGTAATGGTACAGTCATAAGGCCGAACAAGACTAGATTAAAAGTTTGCACATACTACACCAAAAGATAGTAAACATGAACAAAAAGAGAAAATACACATTGAAAGTTTAAAAGAAGGTACTTCAAGACAGAAAAGTACAGACCACAAACTGCAACACTGGTACGTGATTCAGACAAAATGCTGCTTTCCACCACGTTTGAGTTCAAGCATCAGTTGCTGATTCTCAAGCTTGATAACCTTATTATCCAGCTGCATCTTTTGTAACTCCATGTCTTCTTCACTGCAGGAAATCTCCAAGTTGACCCTCTGCTTCTCCAATTCCAGAAATTGGGCCTGAATCTGTAGCTTTTGTTCTTCCAATTGTTGTAAGCGATGGAGAATATGCTCATCCTGCATTTTTTTCTCCTTATTGTTCAAAGAGAAGTGAATCCCATTGCTATTAGGATAAAGCATATTTGGATCTGGATCTAATGTGGTGGTACCGTTCAGAGATAAACGGGCCATATGCATATTTCTTTCTTCACCTCCTGCTTTCCTTTTTGCAGGCATATGCTGCACCAAATTTGGATCTGCTGTAGTGGTACGGTCCAAAGATGCACAGGCCATATTAGAAACTCTTTCTTCTCCTCCTATCTTCCTCTTCAAAGGCAAATCCTGCGACATGCTTCCAGTTTCATATTTGTATTTACCTCTCACAGCCCAAAACACAGATTGCTGAACCACTGGATCATGGGGAAGGAATAATCTATTCCGATTGTTGTATGAGCACATTTCTTCATAGAACAATTGTCTGCTACCTAAAATCTTGTTCATTTCCTCTTTCAAATCATAAGGTAGGTCCATCCTTTCCAGAAGCACAGGGTTCTCCACAACATTACATGCAGTACCTCTCCCAAGTATATCATTCAGTCTCCTGAATTTTTTGTTCAGATCATTAAACTTATCCTCACATTGCTGAGGCGACACACGATAACCTCTTTCAGACATAACACAGGAAATGGCCCTCCATTTACCCTTCTTGACAAGAACTCCATTGTTCAAAGCATCTTCTCCGATGTAAGAAAGAGCAGTAATCAAAAGCTTAACCATGTCATCTGACCATTTCATACGCTGATACACTGGCTGCTTCCCTTCAGTATGTCCAGAGACTTCTCTTACATCATTCAAACCCTCATGATACGCTTCAGGCATCTCAACTCTATTGAGTCTGACAGCACCAAGCAACTGCATTTCTTGGGGGGTGTCTTCCATGTTGCTTACACCAAAGGACATTGCTTGTGGAGCATGCTGCATAAGAACCACTGGACTCTGGTTAGGGTAACCAGCTAGATGGTGATTAACTTGCATTGATCTGAACAAATCCAGCGGTCCACTTAATCCTGGAGTTATAAAAATCAAGACGATGAATCAATGTTTCACATTAACAGAGCAAAACATACTAAAGTAAACAACAACTACACCTCAATCCCAAGTAAGTTGGGGTTGGCTATATGAATCATCACGCTCCATTAATAAAGAAGAACAACAACATACCAGCATAATCTCACAGCTGGGATTTGGAGAGGGTAGAGTGTGCCCAGACCTTACCCCTACCTCGTGGAGGTAGAGAGGTTGTTTCCAAAAGACCCTCCGCTCAAATAAGGTTATATCAAATCCAGTAGAAAAGAAAAAATACGGAATCAAAGATTTCATAGTAAATAATAAGGAAAGCATTACATAGCATTCAGAGAAAGGAACAGTATCAACTACCAAGTAACGCGATAACTGAAGCAAAAGAAACGACAAGTAGTAACATGAATCGAAGGACAAGGGATTACGAGAATAATGCTGCTACTACTGATAAGGAAGGAGAAACAGATATATCCATTAATAAAGTAAGTAAAAAAAATCATATGATTTTGCTCGTTCATCGAAGAAAGGGTATACAAGTTCTCAGGATTGAGTTCATGCATAAAAAAAGATGCAAAAAAAGTGGATTCTTGATTTTACTATCTGCAACTAGAAAAGGGGGTACTGAGGCTAGGAGACGTAGAATACAAAGTACATAAGACTTTAATCCTAGAGTTAACTTACAAAAAAGAACTCATGTTATTTCGATGGAAACAATAAAACTACAAGAAACATTCATAGTTATGAAGAACTAACAAGAAAGGAAAAGAATTGATTCAAACACATCATACCAATGCAGATACAAAGCAAAAAACGATGAATTTACTAAGTAATATAAAGTAAATCTTTCAAGCCTTTAAATATAAGATCTTGATTACTTTTAAGGAGGAGGCACAAGGGATTACTGAGCGCTTTCTGAAACACCTTGGTTTGATCGCCTAGGAAGAAGAAAACTTAATATAGGAGTGAGGTTTGTAAAACGAGGGCCGTTGTTGATGACAACTGGACGATGATAGCAACAGGTGGTTTTAAGTGACAATGCCTTCACACATCAGCTCACTTAATCCAATAAATGAGAGTGTGGCAAATACGCAGCATAGCAATCTTGAAAAAATAAATGGCAGATACATTCTGGGGATTCCCACCCCCCACCCCCAACCCACGAATCTCTCCCTAAAGTGTTTTTCCTACCAAAAGTAAAATAGACTACTTCAAAAATCCACAACATTGTGTTATGATCCTATTGCAAAAAAAGTCTCACATCGGTTAAATGGGGAGCTGATGTGGGGTTTATATGATCTTGGGCTCTCCCACCTTAATAGCCAGCTTTTGGGGTGTGGTTCTCCCTGGGTTGTATCACATTGTTTGGAGAATGATTACAAGCGATACATTTATATCAACTCACAACCAAGTGGATAAAATTGTTCTCAACTTCAATTTACCACTAAGGCAAATGCTAAATTTGGAACATAGAATATCAATCTTAAATGCACCCTTTGATAAATTTTAGTAGAGAGGACAAGTAGTGCCTACTGGCTCTCAATGCGTATATAAGCCGTTGCTTTTAATAGCTGTTCATCTTTCCTTTTGCTTCTCCCATATATTTCTCTCTGTATATACCCATAGCAGAGTTTCTTTCATTTCTTAATTTTACCGTTCTCAACTTTTATCCCCCAAATTTATCTGAACATGATTAAGGCAAACTAGTAGATAAAGATATAATGGATAAACAACTTTGTCAGAGATATGAGGTGTAGAGGTGAGGAAAAGGTTTCAATCATCAAATCTCTCTCTCTCTCTCTCTCTCTGTGTGTGAGAGAGAGAGAGAGAGGTTAAACTCTTAGCAACTTCAATCCCCAATGTCATGATGGGAGTTGGGGGCGTCCCTTCAAAAACAATTTTTTTTCTGTTGCCTTAGTGACTACAATCATCATCCAAGTGATGACATCCCAACCTGGAACTTTAGTCATTATACAAAAAATATAATGTTATCAACAGGGATGCACCACAGGGACTGATGTGGTTCAGTAACTGAGTAATCTTCCCTCAAGAAGTTCATGATCCCTATAACTGTTTAACTTATTTTCTTTCCCTGCCTAACCATTTATGTCTCCTCTGTTTCATTTCTTGGAGTGCCTCTGAATTATTTTTTTAATTAAGCCATCACTAAAAGTTGTGAGCCTAGGTGTGTAAAGGTTAGGCTTGACCCCTACCATGTCTATTCATCCACAGAATTTGGGGGGACATGGACCAAACCTCTAACATAAAAGGAGCTACATAGTGCCTCTAATGATTCATTGAATAGTGTGTATTATGTTCTATGGTGAATGAGCAGGAAATCTTCCGGTTCACAAAAAGGGGAAGATACCAGAGAAACTAATCAGCATTTAAAAGAAAAAAGAAATCAATCATAGGGGAGGGAGGGAAGAAAAGGAGAGGCACAGGTAGTGAGTTTAGGTCATAGTAGAGAAGATGATGGACATTAATTCAACTATAGGAACCAAAAACACAGGAGCACATTTAAAAGTTTTCGGGCAGACTAAAGTTTTTGTCTTGTAAATTTCACAGCTACTCAATTATGTCTTAACAAAACCAATAACACAAGTAACTAGAAATCAATTAGATAAATAAACAAGAAAATGAGTGCTTTGTTTTATGATCCTATGTCATGCATGAAAGCATTAGGCACTTAAACTCATTCATACCAATGAAAAGCACATTCTGTTGAAGCTCTACCCTCAGATGGTCACAACAGAAGTTTAAGCCATTTGGTACCACATATCTTAATACAACAACACTAACGTGCATATGATGAGACCAGAATAGCGAGTTAGTTCACTTCTTCTTTTGATAAATAATCTACTTCTGTCCATATCCAAAGCAAAGGGAGATAATGAAGAAGGAAGCATACATATGGCATCTGAATGAAAAAAGGACAGCTCACTCACAGTTCACTTGAATAAGCATTGACTTCTTGTTAACCGGTTTCTAATGTCAGAACTTATGGTTCAAGCCTCATGCATCACTTTCCTATCTCAGCCTTCAGAGATGCAAATACTCAATCTGGTTGGCCTTCAGAGTCACATTGTTGCTTCTCCACAGGGTAATGGGCATGTTTTCTCTAGTTTAAGCAGGGAGGGTCATAAATTCACGTGCTTCCGCTTGTTCCTTCCTCTTTTAGGACAACCATGTCATATTAGAATCTTTATCTAGTGATGACTATATCTGGTGCATTGCTTTTAACAGTCCAGCCTAGCAACTTTCAAGGTCATGAGGACTACAGGAAGGTCAAATACTTTGCCACAAACCAACTGCAACAATCACTGAAGAGTCAATACATGGTATAGGTACAATCTAAAAATAGTTCCTGGAGAAACAACTATTTTGAGCTCAAAATCTTTGTATAGATTTATCAGAAGACTCGGCCAAGTCCAAAGAGGTGGATGTTCAGCAACTTCACAAGAAATACCTATCCCAAGATATCAGTTAGACACCAAGTGTTTCACATCTTTTACAACCTATCTAAGACATGGCCTTTGAAACAGTCTTCCAATTCTATTTTTTGGGTTAATTCCAACACAGCTCAATTCCTAAGCAACATCCTCTCCAATGTATGAAACAGTGGAAACTAGAAGTCTCACCGTCTTCTCTTCCATCTTATCTGCTGTCGTCCCATGTCACAGGGAAAATTTAATTTGCTTCTGCATACAAATATCAAAACTGTAAGAATGAGTGGATTCTTCAAAATACAACAACATACCCAACATAGCTAATGTACCAACTCCTACTCATCTCTCCACATACATTATGCCTAAGAATTTTCTCCCGAACTACTAGATTTTCTCATCATCACTTGCATATTTTCTCCGGTGCCTACCCTCATTTCAAAGCAAGAATCGAAAGTTGATATACTAGTGGAAATATGTCTAAAGGGCAAAGGACTATCCTCTATAATAAGCTGCCTTTCAGCATCTTGGAATGACCATTTTCCATAGCAGTAAGCTGAAATGGAAAAACCAACACTATAAGTCTTGATTCAAGAACATGAAAACCCCATTAAGAAACCAAAAGATTACCCAACAAAACGGCAGCCCCACAACTCTGTATCATGATTTTGAATTAAAAATTGAACCTTTTGGATTGAGAGAACACAACTAAACTTGGTTTTTCAACACTTCAATCTTGGGGTGGAAGTGAACAGCCAAAAATTTAGCTGAGGCAAAACAAAGCTACAAAAATTAACCTATGCTCCTTCTAGGAATTTGATTAATCTTTTTTTCTTTTTTCTTTCTGAGACATGAGAGGAGAGCATTGTGGCCCTAAAAGGAAAAATAACTAAAAGGACCACAGAAGTTGTAAAAGTGATACAAAGTGTAATTTCGTTGTATTTTTTTCAAGTTATTATATATCGTGATTACAACTCGAACTTTGGAGTATTGAGTAGTTATTTTATAGTTTTACATCCGAAACATCAAAAGTTTATTTTAACTTAACAAAGTTTGCCTAGTGAATTATGATACAAACTAAACGTAATATGAGAAGCTTTATGACGGGATTATATTTCTTTTTTTTTGTGTGGCAAACCAAATGACAATGTTAGATTGAATTATCTTAACTTCTTTATATAGTAAAAATTCTGATTCTGCCATTACAATGCCTCTCATGGTATAAAGCATGAGACGATACAGAGAACACCATATACCAAAGATTTATAAGCCATGAAGTGACATTACTCAGTATATAAGAAGTATATGCGGAAAAAAACAATCCAAAAATCCAGAAGAACAAGAAGATTAAAAGCGAGGAGGAAAAGAACTCACCTCTAAACACCTAAAACAGTAGGCAACACTAACACTCAAATGACATTAAGAAAAGATTGGGTACGATCTAAAAGCTTACACCCTATTATAGCACAGTATAAACCTTCCATCTTTATGAACTCAAAACATTCCAACTTTAACAAAGTCCTGCTCAGAACTATGACCAAACTGTTGAAGCAGATAACGAGAACATTGAACTCCACTCACGATCAGCTTAGAAGCATTTCCGGTGGACAATGGAAGGACCGGATTCATCATATTCACCCTTTGTTATCCACATCTGCCAGTAGTTCAAAGAAACAAAATCAGGCAATGGTCCCAGCTAAAAAATTAACAAATACATACAGCTCTACAAAGCAAGAGTTTGAGGAAACGTGCAAGCATTGTAATAGTGTGAGCTACACGTGTTATGTTATGTATTACCTGTTGGAAGGTGCTGAGAGAAGCTAAGATAGACCCTCCAATCCAGACACTGTACTTCCGTTCAGGAGGCGCCACCACCTTGATTTTCATGCTGCTGGGAGCAAGAGCGGTAATTTCCTTGCTCATACGATCAGCAATACCAGGAAACATTGTTGTTCCACCACTGAGGACAATGTTACCATAAAGATCCTTTCTGATATCTACATCGCACTTCATGATGGAATTGTAAGTTGTTTCATGGATTCCAGCAGCTTCCATTCCCACAAGTGATGGCTGGAATAAGACTTCCGGGCATCTGAACCTCTCTGCTCCAATGGTAATCACCTGACCATCTGGTAACTCATAGCTTTTTTCAACAGCAGAGCTACTCGTTGCGGTCTCCAATTCTTGCTCATAGTCAAGTGCAACATATGCTAGTTTCTCTTTCATATCGCGGACAATTTCCCGTTCAGCACTAGTGGTGAATGAATAACCTCTTTCGGTCAGGATTTTCATCAGACAATCAGTAAGATCACGCCTGTTGACACCTAATTTTGACCCTCCCCGATAATAATTAATTTCGAGCTTCTTAATTTTCAAATGTTTTAAAGTAATTAATTTTAGAAATTTCAAAAATAAAAAATAAAAAAATATAATAGAATAATTTGCAAGTTGTTTCAAATAGTTTGTCACTTGTTATAATTTTTAAATAATAATATGTCTTTTATATAATTATGTATATAATTAGTGTATTTTATAAATATTGGAAAATCGTCTCAAAAAGATTTTGTTTAATTAGATATTTGGTTAGTTTGTTTAGTTATCTAATAGTTTACAATTTTGAGTTAAATAGTTAGTTTATAATTAAGTTAATTAGTATATAATTATGTGTCTAATTAGTATATTTTACGAATGTTCAAAATTGTCTCGAAAGGATTTTAGCTTATTTAAATATTTGGTTATTTAGTCGTGTATATTGTTAAAGTAATTAGTTTATAATTAAGTTAATTATTTTACTTCGTTAAGATTAAGAAGCTCGCTAATTAATTAATATTAATTCATTTAGATTCTAGCCGAATTAATCTCTAAAGCTATTCCCTAAATTTAATCTAACTCACCTCACCATAAACCCATTTAAGAACCATTTTGGGCCATTTTCTTAATACCAAAAATCGGTCCAATTCCCTTTATAACTCCCAGCCCATTTTCCAACCCCATTCCAATAATCCCACACATTACTTACATTAATAATACAACAACAATTTGTGAACAACAATACCAGTCGACCCCATTCCCAATAGTCTTATCCTCTTTATTTCCTTTAATTACCAGCCCAATTCCCAAGCCCAACCAACCCACTTCAATTCCCAGCCCATAACTCCTTAAACCCGGCCCAAATTCCTTTCCCCTTCACAATAGAAACCCAGGAACAACAGTATGACATCCCAGCATTAGCGGCAGCGACCAAACAGAGTAAGACCACAACGTCTTCACGCCAGCGGGAAAACGACAGAGCCATTAAATGCTCGACAGCAGCCAACGTCTCTCTCCACAGCACTATAGCAGGCACGCCTCTGTCCTCCTTTCCCCTTTGGGAATGAACCAAAATCTCAAAGAAAAGGTGTTCAGCCGGAAGGGTGAAAGGTTTTGGAAGTTTTTTTTTGAATTTTGAATTTGGCTTTTGAAGGGGATTTTTATTTCTTTCCCTCCGAAAAAAAAAAAAAAAGAAAGAAAGGGGGAACCCTAGATAATCCCTATATGTATTCCCTTTTGCTCACGGTTGGAGGGGAGGGGGGGATTTTTTGAAGAAACTAGTTTAGGCGAGAATAGGGATGTACTAAATGCACTAAAGAAATCAGAGGAGAAGAGGAGATAACTAATTCTAGTCCAAGTTCCATTCCTTCATTTTTTGCCTACCACAAGTTCATTTGAGATTCCACCTAGTTCTTTGGTTCGCTGTTGGCGTTCGTGGTCGTGTGGTGGAAGAGTTCGTTCTGCTCGTTTGTTATCCAGTTCGCTGCCCAGAAGAAGGTAACGACCTCATCCTTATCTTGTTTCGTCTCATGTGTTGGTTATTTGAGTTCTTGGTGTCTTGGTACTATGTCTATCTTGAATCGATTTTAGTATTTACTCTTAGCGTGGATTCAAAAATTTTGTCGTTTCGTAATTGATGTTGTTATTTCTCCATTTGGGTTTGTCTTGTTGTTTTCTTCTCGTCCATTTACTTGAATGTCGGTGAATTCGTACTCTTTATTTTCATCGTCTTTAAGCTACTATTGATGTTATTGGATTTTCAAGATGAGGATTGAATCTTATAACTGATTAGTATGAAAGTTGTATGTTGTTTTGCCTATTGCTTGTTGGATATGACAACTTGTTTTCTCCAGTTGCGAATCTCATGATTGTACTATGGTTTAACATGTGTGTTTGAGTCAAGTCTATGCCTCCATTCTGTCCAATATTTTACTTGTGGTTATGAGATTAGTTAATTTTCGAGTAGCGAAAAAATGATAAACTGATTCTTTCTTTCTAGTTGTTTTGCTCCTTACTATGAGTAGTTGCAACACGAATAATGTTAGCTATGTGTAGTTGGCTTATTTACTGTGATTTAAGTAGGAAATAGTGAGGTGAAATGTGAGGTTTGATTTTTATTTCCCTGAGGCAGTAACTTTTTTTGTCAAAGTTAAATCATTTTTTTTCCACTAGTTTCTTTGTAGTGTCTAAGGTTAAGCCCCTTTGTTAATCACCAAGCAAGTTGTGTGTGCTCTTATCCTTGAGATTGTTTAATTTAGATTCTTTAAATGAATTAAATTTGATGTTATTCATGATTTGCATACAATACGTGACTAAGTGTCCATTTGAGAATTCTCCGGTTGAGCTTAGATTAAGTCTAGCAAATTGTCAAACCACTTTCTTTTGTTAGCTTTTTTTTTTTTTTTTTTCTTATATTTTTTTTTATTTTTATTTTCTTATTTTTATATTTTTATTTTATTTCTTCTCTCTTCTTTATTTCCCTTTAATGATGCATGCACCAGTTAGAACATATCTTGCTTGCATTCTTTTTTTTGAATATATATACAGTTGATGTCCATCTCGTGATCACATCTAATGGGTAGTATTTTACGGCATAAAAATGGAAATAGATTCGTCCTATCTTGGTAGTGGGTAGACTAATTGATATCTTCTTTGCATATGTTGCTATCCTATTTTAAGAGTAAGTTAAGTTTTCTATTTGTGTCTTCCCCTACTTACTGGTAGTACTAAATTGCTTGTTGATACCCTCGAATGTTATATTCCTTTTACCCTATTAATTAATTTCTTTCTCTCTTTACTTTGTCGCATGTGACACCGATTCGAGTTCACTTTGGACTCCATCCTTGCACTTCTTTCGATGTTACCTTTAAAATCGAGTCCCAATGGATTAATATGTGAAGCCAAGGAAGCAGGTGTACAGTTTAATGGCTGATTGCAGGTCTCAAAAGGCCCAAAAAGGGGTGATATACCTGCTATATACACTCGTATACAGCAAGAAATATGGTTTACAGGTTGCAAAATACGAGGATACAAGTCTGATGATAAGACATAAGTCAATAGCTATTGTTCAAGGAAAAAACGCAGAAATTCGGACCCAAACACGGTCCATATACAGTGATATACGTAAAGGGTATACGCAGATTTTTCCATAAGCAAAATAGGCCCAAAGGCCTTAGACAATTTCAGCAAGGTCCAAGATGTGGGAAAGGCCCAAATTTGATTATTTCCTTTCCCTCCCTTATTATTGATATTGTGTTTGACTAACTTTGTTTAATTTATGATTCTAATTTAACTAAATTCCTCAAGATAGCCATTTTCATTTTATTTTAAAAAAAAAAAATAAATAAATTATTTTTTATATATATAAATTAAAGTATCTTTGTGTTATACTTAGCTTTAATTTTATTTGTCTTGTCACTTAAGTCATTTCCCCTTTTTGAAAATTTTCCTTTAGTTCATTCCCCCTTAAAATAAATAAAGTGATAAAATATTAAGGGTAATAAATAAATAAGTTGAAATAAATTAGTTTTCTTACTAAGTTAAAATTTCGAAATAAATTAGTTTTCTTACTAAGTCAATTTCAAAAATAAATAAATAAATAAAAAATATAGTTAATATAAATTAGTTCTTTTACTAAGTTAAAAATTTCAAAAAAAAAAATATATAGTTAATATAAATGAGTCCTTTTATTTAGTCAAAATTGCAAAGTTAGTTAAAATAAGTAAGTTCTCTTATTTAGTTAGAATAAAAAAAAATAGTCATAAATGAGTTCTTTTACTTTTGTTAAATTTTCAAGATTAGTCAAAGTCATGAGTTCTTTACTCAGTTAAATTTTAAAAAATAATTAGTTAAAATAAATAAATTCTTTTACTTAAGTTA